AGTTAGCAGTTTGAGTCCACCCAGAAGTGCCTCAAAAGAAAGGCCTGGGGACCTACTGCTAAAAATTCAGTCGGTGACTATGGTCTTAGAGAGCATTAGAGCCTATGCCTACGGTCTACTGCTAGGAACGGAGGTTGAGCCCAATTGGTCAGTCTAAGGCTGACCTCCATTTGCCCAGTCCACTTTAGATTTTCCAAAACTAACTATTTCCCCCATTCCACAATACCATCTTTAACTGGCCAATATAAACATAATCCAGAGCATCTACTGACACACATGGGACAGCCATGAGCTAGGAATGACCGAGAGCAACTGATAAAACGAACGATTAAAGCCGCTGAATTCCTAAAAGTCTATGCCCTTGAACGCTCCTCTAAGGTTTTCTTCCAGCTCTATCAATTTAACTGGAGAACCTTAATAAGTGACAGACTTTTGAGAATTTTTCAATAAGGCAAGCAGGAAGGATAAGATTTTTCTGAAATTACACACCCTGCCAGACACTACATTGCTCCTGGAAGGGAGCATTTCTCCAGGTAGCAGAAAGGAGCAGGCTTCACAAAATTCAGAGAAAATTTTTATTTAAAGATAATGGAATTTCCCCACAAACATTTTGAAGCTCCTTCAGACTAAGCACAACTCAGATGCCAGTCACTAGCCTGAAAAGAAGTCCTTGAGGACCTCTACTGGCCCCTTGCCCTTCCCACCGGGAGCTTCTCCCTTTCCAGCCTGAGCAAGAAGGGCCCACCCTTCCTCCGTCATCCAGGCTCCAAATCTAACCCAGTCCTCTCCTTGCCATCTGCCAAAGGCTCCCACATGCATATTTTATGATTTCTGGCACCTCTCCGTATCAGGCATCCTGCAATGCAGCCCTCTGGCACCTATATTACTCTAAAGAAAGTCCTAAAACAGGCAAGAGTCCTTGGGATGTACATGATTACTTACTGCCGATTTTACCGTTCCTATTTTACCTCTCCACTTGGTTTATAAATCTCTCAAGGGCAGAGACCAAATCCTGTATTTCCACAAGTGGGCAGAAAGCACAATTGTAAACTATGTATTGAATGAATGAGTGAGTGAGTGAAGTAAACTGTTTTCAAATTTAAAAGTCACTACTACTGTCTTTCATGGACAAAGGCATCAGGATCTCCTCTTTAGGATCTACAGCCAGAATAAATTAATTTAAAAGTGACATTTATAGGAATATGCATGCTATTTTCTTAGAATTAATAGAAAATGTCCTCACTACATAGAGAATGGCAGCAACATTATCAGCTGCATATGAAATTTTATTTTCAGGTGCCCATAGCACTGGTGGCACAGTAGGATAAGCATTGAACAGCTACCTACAAGGTTGGTGATTCAAAGCCACCAGCTGTTCTTCAGGGAAAAAAATGAGGCTAGTTGTTCTCATAAAGGCTGATAGCGTCGGAAGCCCAAAGGAACAATTCTACCCTATCCTACAGGGTCACTATGAATTGGAATTGATCCTATGGTAATGGTTTATGGCATGATAATGAGGCATCATCTTCACTTCTGGGTAAAAGCAGACTGCATGAGGACTTGGGGGTACATAGGAAAATCATCCCTTGGTCTTAGTTCTACCAGCGACTATTGTAGGAAAACCGGTTCCCAGAAACTTTACCAAACATGATGTCCTTTTCATCATTAAACATTAAGACCCTCGACGAGATGCACTGACACATGCATGTCGTCTGTAGCAATGGGCTCAGGCATAACAATAATTGTGAGGATGGTGCCAGCCCGGGCAGTGCTTTGTTCTGCTGTACACAAGCGCATTATGAGGAGGAATGGACTGGAGGCATCTAATGACTCCACCATTGCTGGGTGCAGAAGCTAGAGAGCTCACAGAAATCACAGCGTGATATGAGGATTTTTATCTAAACAGATTGCAAGTTGGCTAGATATTGGTAGAGAATCTGTTTGAAATCCCTATTTAGCTATTTAGCTAAGTCACATTCCTTCTTTGGTGGTTTAATGACATCAAACCAAACTGAATTGGGATTCAGATAATCAAATGATTTGTTCTCCTATGTCCTTGCTGGTCAGAGTTGGGGCAACAAATAGAACAAGGCTAATGACCATCCATTATGTTGATGATTCTTATTCCAAATGACCTTCTAGGACAGGGTAGAACTTCTCCTTGGGGTTTCCAAGGCTGTAAATCTTTATAGGACCAGACAGCCTCATCTTTCCCCCTCAGAAAACTTGGTCAGTTTGAGCCATGGACCCTGTGGTTGGTAGCCCAACACTGAAGTCATAGACTCCATTGATCTCTCCAGCCCAATAGGTGACCTAAACAACTTCATTATGTCTTATAATAATTATCGTTTTTGCAGACCCTGTGGTTGGTAGCCCAACACTGAAGTCATAGACTCCATTGATCTCTCCAGCCCAATAGGTGACCTAAACAACTTCATTATGTCTTATAATAATTATCGTTTTTGCATGTGAGCATAAGTTTGATATCAATGAAAGTACCCAATTACATTACACAAACACAGATACTGTTATAAAAATTTGTTTCTCCAAAGCTCAATGACATCGAGTGCATGCCAACTCATAGCAACCCTAGAGGGCAAGGTAGAACTGCCTGTCTGGGTCTCTGAGACCCTACCTCTCTACAGGAGTAGAAAGCCTTCTACTTCTCCCTTGGAGCAATTCATAGTTTCAGCTCCCAACATTGAGGTTAGTGGCCCAACTCATAACCCACTCCACCAGGTGCTGTGTGTACTGTGACAGGAGATAATATTACAATTAGGGCGACTCAACAAATATCTTGCAAAGAGTGGGTCTTCAAACAGCAGACCATTAACAAGGCTAATTGGTTTTTAAGGGCTGTAAGTAGGTGGTAACTGAGTATGCCTTTTGGCTCAAATCAAGCCATCTCAGAACACACAGAGCCAAGTGGGGCATTGTGGGAATGTGAGACATCACAGGAAAATGTCAAAGAAAAAGTACATCTCATGGATAATATTTATATTGCTAAAGAAAAGAAGCTGTTAGGATTTATCAACATTTACCCAGCTGATGAAACCAACAAAACATTTTCAAGCTAGAGTTTCAAGTTACAGTTAGAGCAACTCAGAGTTTGTGAATCAAAATCTTTCATTTTACCAAGGAGAAATTCAGGTAGAGATGACACACCTCACCTATGCTCAACAGCACTAGTCAGAGCCAGCACTAAAACCTAGGTCTCTTAACTCTAGCTTCATATGCAAAGCAAATGTCACTGAATTTACAAATTAAAAGGACACATAATAGCCAAGCAATAAATATCTGTTAATAGAATTTGGGAAACAGAGATGGAGAGTTCCAGAACTATATTGATATACAACCTTCTGACAGGTAAGTAAGGAGCCCTGGCTCACAGTGGTTCCAACCCACAAGCTACTCCACAGGAGATAAATGCGGCTGCCTAAAAGATTTACAGCCTGGGGAACCCCATGGTACAGTTCTACTCTGTCCTACAGAGTGGGTATGAATTGGAATTGACTCAGTGGCAGTGTGGGTTTGGTTGGGTTTTAGACAAGGCAAGCAATTGTCTCAAGTTTTGACTTTGGCTTGCTCAAAGTGACCTTGACTCCTTAATATTTAAAAGCTTCGCTTCCACAATCAATCAAGTGCTATTGGAACAATTATGAAAGCATGCAAGTTGGTGGTGAAACCGAAAGCTTTCTAGAAGACTGAGCAGTGCATTTGAATAAGTATTTCCACCAGAGAAACACTATGGGTTTCCAAACACATGACACGTCGTTTTATTGGAGAAATCTACAAAAGGCAGGTATGACTAAGCAACCACAAAGAACTAGAAACATCAAAATAACCAGGAGTCTGTGGACCAGGCCAGTCTGCATATGAAGATAAGCTGGAATTTCCAACCTATTATTCCTACTGTAAAAGAAGGTCTCTGTACTCCAACATTGGTTTCTTTTTAAATTAAAAAAAATAATGGTTTACAAAGCTTTCTAAACATTATCATACTCTATCCTCCACCCTACTGCTTCAGAAACAAATTATGGGACAATCAGGTTAAACTGCTAGACAGGGAACTGACCAGCCCAAGTTTTAAGCACTTTTTGCTACATTCAACTACATGTCATCAAAAAGTCTTTCAAAGCTAAATTTCAACTCTTAGCTAAGGAAACCAAGTCTCAATCATCAGGCAACAAATACAAGTACTAAATAAATGTCTTACTCAAAGGGCTGTCCAGCAAATTATTGCATGTTTCCTTAGCGTCTTAAAGTGATGGCTTTCAACTTCTTCAAGACTATTCGTCCCACACATTAAAAAAAAACTGTTCAAAAGAAATAACCTAATTCCAATTATACAACCACAGGAGGAAACTGGCCACAATATTGCCAGAGAAAAGAAAACAAACATACATTTACAGAAAGATAGACAACTCTCTATATAGAAGAGTAGGAAAAGAAACTCCTGCCACTGCAGCCCGAACCTGATTTACCTTTCTCTGGGGACAAGTACAAACCTAAAGAAACGCATTTGGGCGCGCGGAAGGGATGGTGGAATCCATTTCGTACTTGAACTTCTTTCCCTTGGAGCTAGGTTAGCAAACCACGCAGCTGGGGGCAAAACAAGATGCAAACAACGCTCCAGGACAGGGAAACAAGCAAATCAGCTTGGAGGTCCCAAGTCGGGAATAGTTAGCTCCTCCTGAAGCGGGAACCTCGGAGCTCCGGGACCACCCCTTCCCCAAATTGCCGAGACACACAACCAAGAGCAGGGCTTCCCGCGGACTCCATCTCCCCGCGCGCCTTCTCCTCGCAGGGCCCGGAGACTGGGCACGCGGGTGAGTCTGGGGTCGTTCGCCCACCTCGTCTGCAGTTCCTTTTTATTCCAGTGCCCCAGGAAGGGTCACCTGCCCGGCGCAGTTCGACGGGACACGCGGCGCGCGCGGACGCGCCGAAGCCTCCAGGGGGCCCACGCCCACCCCCCGCCCGGACCCTCGGACCCCGCTCACAGCCACGAAGCCGGACGAGGAGGCGATGAAGACGCGGATGCCCATCCTTTCGCAGCGACACCGCACGTCCCTCGGCTCCCGGGGCTTCCCGGTGGGCACGGACGCGGAGGCAGAACCCGGCTCAGAACTGCCGCCTCCAGGCGACGCGCTCCCGTCGGGGAAGAGCCTGAAGATCTGGCTCCCTCCCGCCGGGTCCGCGGATAAAAGCGCCGCGCCGCCCGACCGCCGGCAGAGGGAGGGGGGCGGGGAGGACTCCGGCCGCGAGGCCTGATGGGAGTTGTAGTTTCGGCCTCTCGGCGGAGGAGCTGATAGACCGAACATTCGCCAGTCACCTCCTTCCTTTGGTCAAACCAAACCCAAAGGGCGAAGGTGTTGGGGAGGGCGTCAGAGGGCCGGGGAGAAGGTGTGAGATGAAGTGGCGAGGGTCCCGAGGAGACATGGAACAAAGAAAGTAGGCAAAAGGGCCTGGTTCAAAGTCCGAGCTTGGGTGCTGTGTTCTTGTGGCTTACTGGCTTGGCACATTCCCACCCAGAAATGCCAACAGGCTGGATGGTGCTGCACAGACCCATCGTGTCAAAGCAACATGCGCGCCAAGCCAGCCCTACAACCCGTGTCCAGCAGCTTACAGGACAGCACCCCGGGTTCTCAAGAGTGCATGGTGCTGGGGCTGGGCTCTCCTGTTTGCTAAATAAGGAATTTTCCGTCTTCTGTAGACGTTAATTAGAAGCCAGCTGAGAACACAAACGATATTTCATTTTTCTTCGCAAACTGTAATTGTAGTAGAAAAAAATAAATAGCAAGTGGAATTAGAATCTCTCTATCAAGACTGGGAATCAGGACCCCTCCTACCCGGGCCCCTACCTTACACAATGGCTTCGCCTCTGTGCACCTAATATTTACAGTTGAGCCAAATCTGTCTTTTAACAGAATTGCTGCACATTCCAGCGCAGGCTCCCAGGAGTCTGCTGTTCAATGAAGCACTTTTCTGTCGTTTAGGAATAGTTCTATAGCAAGTATTTTCGACTTAACAAAAGTGCAAGCCTCTCACAGTTTCGTGGAAATGAACCAGTTTTCCCTGCAAGACTGTACTTACTTTCTTCCTTTCAGCAGGGAGTTTAGCAGCGTTCTGGGAGTGATGTTAATTAATAGTTCTAGAAAGAAAAAAGTTGTCCCTTTGGTTAATTTCTTGCACAAACATTAATTCTTTCAGAATAATGCTTGCAAAGAGGGATTTTGAATATTTTAAGTTTATAGTCTCTTTTTTGCTTGTATTTAAAAAGTCACTTGTGTCGTTTTCTTTTGAGACCCAATACAATAACACACGGTGCACTTCTTGTGGGACTTGGTTTCTTCTTAATGTTCAAAGTTTTAAAATATAAGGTTTCTATCGTTAATATCTGCAATGTACTTTT